GGACTACAATTTCTTTTTGTAATGATCTTCCCAGGAAGTTATTTCCCCAGTGACATCGATCTTTAGGGGTCGGCGGTTCCAAATCTCGGTTCCCCATTGAAGTACAAATTGCTTTTTCTCCACAGAATATCAGATGTGCCAGAATAATTGTCCAGAAGTCCACTGACTTCTCAGCAGCCGATTATTGATATGTTTTCATAATGCATTACTAAACTTGCATCATTACATTGCATCTACTAAAACGCGTAGCATTTCCATCGTGTGGAGCATTACGCTACAAAAAAATCCTCAAACATGCACGAGTATAAGCCAATTGTATCCACCTGTGGTAACAAGATTGTTATGCGCTCAAATTTGATTTACCTCCACAAGAAGCCTAGGGTAATTCAATTATGTTTCCTCATCGGAGTTTGTTTTGATTCGCCACCAATCGGGTCTTTGATATTTCTCCATTTTCCCAATAAGTTTGTGGTTTGCGCTTGCCTTTGCAAGCCTTTGGTTATTTTACCCGCGTTTGCTTTGTCGTTAGAGTATGAGTAAGAGTTGGCTTATAATCTTTCTTGCTTCTCAAGTGTTTGAGTATCCATACTTGGTGTGTGGTAATTCAGACAATTGCCACTCTTGAAGAATTAACACCCCGCCTCTGGCCTAAGGGATTTTTAGTTCTTGCGTATTTGCAACCTATCGAAAGCCTAACATGTTTTTCTTTGTTAAAGTTGGCTTTGACCAGTCCCTTTCTCTTGCAGAGTTCACCTTCGATCGGTGCTCTTTGAAGGTCCTGCTTAGTCGGTTCCTTGTTTTGGTTTATCCGCGTTAGTCGGGTCCTCCTTTCGTTAGCCTAGCTAACTTTTTATGATTAAGAGTCTTTCAATGTCTCTTCAAAGTCCAATTGTTTGGCGCCCTTGTTTAGGCGGATGCGTCCTTTTTTATTGGGGCTTTCTTCGGTTAGTCTCGTTCCTGTGTTCGCTAGCAATTCTAAACATTTTTTCTTGATGATCAACTTCGCTCTTGTGTATCTAACTCTGACTAGATATGCATACCTTTATCATTTGTTGAGAGTCCCCTTCGGCTGGTCTCTTTGCAGTTGTAAGTTCTCCTTCGACCGGCGTTCTTTTATTAGGAATCTACCATCGGCATAGTATTCCTGGATGAAGATTCCCCTTCGGCTGGTCTCTTTATCCTAAAGTCCACCTTCGGTTGGCATCCTTTAAAATCCACCTTCGGTTGGTATCATTTGTTGAGAGTCCCCTTCGGCTGGTCTCTTTTCAGTTGTAAGTTCGCCTTCGACCGACGTTCTTTTATTAGGAATCTACCTTCGGCATAGTATTCCTGGATGAAGATTCCCCTTCGGCTGGTCTCTTTATCCTAAAGTCCACCTTCGGCTGGTATCCTTTGTTAAAATCCCGCTTCGGCTGGTACCCTTTGTTAAAATCCCGCTTCGGCTGGTATCTTTCAAAATCCCGCTTCGGCTGGTATCTTTCAAAATCCTGCTTCGGCTGGTATCTTTCAAAATCCCGCTTCGGCTGGTATCTTTCAAAATCCCGCTTCGGCTGGTATCCTTTGTTAAAATCCCGCTTTGACTGGTATCTTTCAAAATGCCGCTTCGGTTGGTATCTTTCTAAAAAACCCCGCTTCGGCTGGTATCATTTGTTAAAATCCATCGTCGACTGGTATCATTTGTCAAGAGTCCCATTTGTTTGGTCTCTTCCCTCAGTAAGTTCACCTTTGATTGGTGTTTCTTTGTAAGAGCTTTCTTTGGTCTGTCTCTTTCGTACGTATCCGATATCGACCACGGATATGTATTTTTGATACCTATTTCATATGTCTGCTACCAACCCCAGACATGTGTTCTTGATTTCTTTGCAAAAGCTTTCTTCGGTCTGTCTCTTTCTTACGTATCTGATACCGACCACAGATATGTATCTTTGACGTCTCTTTCGTACGTATCCGATACTGACCACGGATATGTATCTTTGACGTCTCTTTCGTACGTATCTGATATCGACCACGGATATGTATCTTTGATGTCTCTTTCTTACGTATCCGATACCGACCACGGATATGTATCTTTGACGTCTCTTTCATACGTATCCGATACCGACCACAGATATGTATCTTTGACGTCTCTTTTGTACGTATCTGATACCGACCACGGATATGTATCTTTGATGTATCTTTCGTACGTATCCGATACCGACCACGGATATGTATCTTTGATGTCTCTTTCGTACGTATCCGATACCGACCACAGATATGTATCTTTGATGTCTCTTTCGTACGTATCCGATACCGACCATGGATATGTGTCTTTGACGTCTCTTTCGTACGCATCTGATACCGACCACGAATATGTATCTTTGATGTCTCTTTCGTACGTATCTGATACCGACCACGGATATGTATCTTTGATATCTCTTTTGTGGGTATCTGATACCGACCACAGATATGTATCTTTTCTATCTCTTTCTTACGTGTCCGATACTGACCACGGATATGTATTTTTGATGTCTCTTTCTTGTATATTCGTTACTAACCCCGGATATGTGTCTTTGATACTTTTTTTTGTATGTCTGCTAAAGACTTCAGGCAAATATCTTTTGACATCTTTCTTACAGGTGTTTGTTACTAAATCCCAACAGATGTTCCTTGATAACCAAGTTATTCTACTGTGTGTCAAACCCTGGTTAAACATACATCTAACCCCCGATAACCCCTTTAACCTAGAAAGCAAAAAAAATAAAATACAGAAAAACCAAAAATAATAATACCTGACTGACTCCGGAGCACAAATTTTTGGGTTCTTTTAGTATTTAATATTCTTCCACCCTGAAAGTTCGAAAGGCTGACGCCAATCTCACCTTCAGGTTGAAAGCGATTAAATAGGGGCAGCTGTTGCACCCCAAAATTTGCCCTCCTAATTTCTTACGTTGGCTTAGACTTTTGCACTCATCTGTATATATTTTATTAGGTCACTAATCTAGCATGCATTGCATTCAATAATGCGCTTGAGGTTCAAAGTTCAGTGGTTGTGCGATATTTGGGTTTCACAACGGATAAGGTGTTCGTATCCAATAAAGCATGATTCTTCTGATTATCTTTCAAGCAGTGAAATATGGAACTAGGGTTGCAACTATGCTTATTGAGGGTTCCGTCTTTTTCAAGTTAAGGGGGTCATTACTCATTCAGATACATTCAAGACTAGAATCAAAGTATTCCTCCACCAAGTTTGTACTTGTCAGTATTTCATCGACTGAGGTCCATTAGGTTATCTAAGTCATGGCCATCTTAGTCATATTTCTTTTGGTATCCCCGTGTTCACTTCCAAGTTGTTCTACGAGATCATCTAAGAGCTACTAAATCAGGCATTCATTATCCCCTTGTGCTCAATGTCCTCCTTTGATTAGAGTTTCCCTACGCTTGGGATTGTTGGATGAATTTGGCAGGACTAATAGTCAGAGGTTCTTCGTCAATGACCAGCTAGGGTTTTCTTTTGACCTTTCTTTGTAAGTCAAAAGGGGAAATTTATTACTTAAGTCACAAGCTATGTGATCGGAAACTTCATACAGAAGACAAATGTGGATATACTGGTGCCCATTTTACCGTTTGATCTTTGTTTATCATTGATTCAAACAAATTCTTTCATTTAGCTGTGATGCTTGAGGATCAAGATGTTACATCGCTTAGGCCATGCAAGTTATCTCTTTGGTTCCTACACAAGGCTTTGAGGTGAACGTGATGTATTGGGTCATAGTTGCATCCAAGATTTCAATAATATCTTACTTGAGTTCCTTTGATTGATTGAGAGTATCTGATCTCATGATGTGTTATATTAAAAGATGCAATTTGAAGCAAAATTTGAAAAGACAAAAGAAGCTTTTGGAGAGAAAGAAAGATTCAAGTCATATTTCATCTCCAAGATACAAGTATCACAAAACTCTTCCAAGAAATACTGAAGAATCCGAATAAAATACAACAATATGAAAGGAAGGTTCAAGATTGAAAATTGGAGAAAATATTATATGCTTGAAGATTCATTCAAATTAAAGAAAATGAAGGAAAAAAAATTCAAATCTATGTTTGAGAAAGAGAACATTACATTTCCAAAGCACTAGTCTATTATAATTTCACTTCCTTCAAGTTACATTACATCATTGAGCAAAATACAAAAAAAAAATTACACAAAGCTACACTAAATCTATCTTGCCTAAACATTAGCTCCATTATTTTCCATGTTATGGCTTCAAGATGCCAATAATCGGACTTGGCGTTAGGCGAATGCAAGGACAAGGAATCAAAGATCTCAATATCAATTCAATCAAAATCGGTTATCATCATTTTGATTGTGCTGCTGATTACAAGAACGAAAATGAAGTTGGAGAAGCGTTTAAAGAAGCTTTTGATACTGGATTTCAAATTTCAATTAATTTCACTGCCTTGCAAAAAACGAAAAGAAATAATATTAGTGGCTCGAGTCTAAAATTAAACATTCAATCTGCAATAAATGGTAGTAGTAAGTAAAAAAAACCAACTGTCAAACTGCTAACCAAAACAGAAACTCTAACTTCCAGTTCAGTTTACAAACAACCCATAATAGAATTTCAATCCAACTAACTTGTAACCAAAACTAACAGCTAACTGCTCTAACCGAATTCATCTCAACCATTTATTACCTAACCAACAAATTCAAACCAAGGGCTCAGATGCACTTACCTCTAACAAACTGTTGCAGATCCTGACTGATTATATAAACTGGATTCGTCATCTATAACGGGGGATTTTTTCTTGGTTCTTTTGAGAATTGCTGCAATCTTCATCCTCTTATCTCTTTGCAATTCCCCATCATCTTCAGCAATCTTGCATCATCTTCATCAAATATTCAATATCCATCATCATCATGCTCCATCACCTTCTCCAATATGTAGTGACTTTCAACATTCTTCACACATCAACGATTATCCTTCATCTCAGCATCATCACAATAATCTACATCCAGAATAATTTCAACGCACATCAAAGTTCAGATTCGCAGAAGACACAAAGAAGAATTGCCGAAAAAGAAGTGAATCACAGAAATAATGTCGATTACCTAATTTACCCCTGGTTTCCTCGTATGGCGTCAGAGAGCTGCCGGGTGTTCTCCATTCAGTAAGATCTTTCACTATCAACTTCTTCATGTATATTCTTCCTTTTTTTTTCTTCGGCTTTATGGTTGTGAATGAGACATCAGCATTTGAGGATGAATCGGAATTGCAAGGATGTTGAATCCGGGCAGAACTGGAGTAGAGGGAGACAAATTGAGAGAAGAAATTCAGAGGGGAAGAGGATATCATCATTCAGTCAGATTCATTACAGTATTTCAACACAGAGAAAAGTCTCAAGAAACTCACCAATTGGAGAATCTGGAAATTTTCGGTAGAATCATCAAAATCACAGAACAAGATTTTCATCTTTTCGCCATCTTCAACCGTTTTCTCTCCATCACTCTCAACACTTTACAGGCTTGATCATTCATCATAGAATCACGTTTAAGCCAAAACTACAGCACCCTAACTTCCCTCTCTTTTATCATCCTCATCGCGCATCGTCCACCGCCACTTTAATCAACACCACCGAAACTTCAACAAACCCTCAACCTTCATCCTTCATCACCATCACCATTACGGCTTCCGCAAATCCTCTATGCATCAATTCACCATTTTCCTCGCACTGACTTCGTCAAATCTGCAACATCACAACAAATTCGCTCATCAATAGAAATCAACAAAAATGAACAAACAAATTCTGCATCGCACAAACGCGAAGAGGAAATCATAAATGGAAGGAAGAAGGTGTGAATCAAATCTTACCTGGATTTCTTAAATTCTAGTTCTATCTTTGTCACTGTGATCGAAAAGCCGCCAGGGCGACTCCAACAAATGAGGAATGAGGTCGAGGGTGATTGAGACCAAAATCGGAAAAGAATCCCCTGAATCGCTCTATCTTGATTAAACTCAAAAAGCCTCTCCTTCATTCATTCAAGGTGGAATCCGAAGAAGACATGTTTCCTTGGCTATGCCAAGCGATTGGCCTCCTCGTTGACAAGTTACGTCAATCTTCTCTCTGCGCTTGGGAGGAGATAAGTGGAGAAGGTAAGGGTGAGAAAGGCTGAGCCGCCGGTAAGAGAGAGTAAGGAAGAAGAACGGTCGAAGCTGGGTTTTGAACCCTAAACCGTCGAAACTACACCATTTCACATTTGTTTCAGTTTTTATTTTCTTTTTTTATATATTAATAAATCAGAAAATAATGTTGATATTAAGGACCTGGTCACATGAAGTCTGGACTGGGCCCATGCGTTAGGCATTCCAATTCATACCCCTGGATCCTAATTACACTCCCTAACTTTTCTCTTCACTTTACTTTGTTTTTTTTTAATTTTTTGCAATTAATTTTGGATGTTTCTTTCATACTTTTTTATTAATTTTTTGTGTATACATTAAAAATATTGATTCCTGACTTGTTGATATTTTTTTATGATGTATCTATTAGTTTAGGATTTAATTGAATTGATCTTTGAATATGTTTGGAACTAGGATTTTAACATGTTCTCGTTGGTTCTTTCCAATTGATACAATTTCTTTGGCATGATAAAGGGTTTAATGCAAGGTTATGATCCTTAATTGCTTGAATAATTTTTTGCTTGTGGTTAGGTTCATAAAAAATCTCATAAACTCGATAAAAATAGATTGTTTTGTTTCGTTGAATGTTCATTTGATTTGAAAGCCTTGTGATGGATTCTTAATCCAATTTTCATCCGATAACGGTGTTTTATCCATGATACTTATTGGCATGATTATATGACGTTTGCGTGTGATAATTGTTAAAGAGTTTCGACAGGCTTCAAAGTAAATTTAGAGCACAACATTCATCAAGGGAATTCAAAGAGGCTTTCGGTAGAATTTTTTTTATCGCTTGCATGGCTTTGAAAAGAAACGGACCTTCTCCATTCGGTATTATCATAACCTCGTTTTATTCCTCATCTCCGCATTTATCGCTTTCGGGAGATCATATGAAGTATGATAACTTTAGGTTTAGAAATTCTAATTCCCCTTGACTTTTCTTACCCTTTTGCGCTTGCACTAAAAATAAAACTTCCTTTTTTTTCAAACTTCAAAAATACATAAAAATTCACTAAGAAGAATCATGTCTTTGCTAAGTTTGGGAGATGATAAGCGGGTTTCTTCTCGATCTTATTATTCTCTTATTCTAAGGTTGGGCATGGTTCAAGTCTCAAAGAATCATTTCACGAATAAGTAGAGACATGGCTAAAATCTCTCCATTGAGATTAACTAGTTATTCTCTACAAACAAAAACACCAACAAACATAAAATTCTTTTTGCCTTCGGGCCTTCCTTTCAAACTTTTTTCAAAAAGAGCATATTAATTCACTTCTGTGCTGACGCGTAAATCTCCAAAGGTCGAGTTGCGGCAGAAGGCGAAATTAATATCGCTCATTAAAAACCTAAACCAAATTCAAACTTTTGTGCGCCCAAGCAAATTTTCTCCAAATATTTTCAGAAGAGCATGTTAATTCACTTCTGTGATGACGCTTAAGTCTCCAAAGGTCGAGTTGCGGCAGAAGGCGAAATTAATACTGTTCAGTAAAAAATACAAACAAACAAAAACATATAAGCTGAACTACGGCTGCTCTGATTCCTTAAAAGGGATACGTAGGCATCGGGGTAAGGGCCGAACGAGCACAACTTTTATTTTCCCTACATCTTCCCCCCTTTCATTTGCATGCATTCTCCCTTTAGCAGTAATAAACAGTAAGCATAGATTAAACACACCCATAAGATAGACAACAAGAGTGGATACCGTAGAGTACTACGGGCGTGTGGGGTGCTAATACCTTCCCCTCGCGTAACAGACTCCCTTACTCTTATCTCTTGGTCGTTCGACCTTGATTTCACCCTTTTCAGGTTTACTCGACGTTTACGTTTCCCTTCCCGTGGGATAAAAGACGTTTGATGGCGACTTCATTGTTTGATGATTTTCAGCCGGTTATTTCACTATGATCTTAAATTTGTTTTGTTTTGCCTAGATACTTCGCATGCGTAACATGGCCATTTTTGTTTTAGGCAACCAAGTGGGAGAAACCCTAAGGGTGCTTGTGTGCAAAGTGCATTATTTTCATGCTTTTGATTTTGTCTTGTATTTAGGGTTTTCAATTTTTGCTTTGTTTTGTTCTTGTCATACAAACCCTAATTACTAATCATGGCATATGAAAGCAATAAATTGCGTAATATAAATATACTAAGCTATTACAACAATTTTAGGGGAGGGGGAATACAAGTTTGAATGGGGATTTGCACAAATATAAAGCTAAATATATTATCACAACCAAATCGAATTTGCGTGAATTAACATAAATATAATACAATATTTAAAATGTAATGCAATATGTATGTAAAGAAAAGATGTTTTATGTATTGCTTTTGTGTAAAAGAATATTTAATTTAAACCTAAAAAAATAAGGAAAAATATTTAATTCTTTTGAAAGGGGTTAAACCCTAATTTTCATTTAAAAGAAAATAATGTTTCTATATTATTATTTTCTTCATTTTTCGTATAAAAATAATAAATAATATTGTATCTAAATATTAAAAATAAATATATGCAAAAAATAGGTATTTGTAAGTATGAAATGTAAAATAAAAATATTAAGTATATTTAATTATATTTATGAGTTTATTAAGAAAATAAATTATATTTTGTCAAAATTAGTTAATTTTTTTTATGTGAGGAATAATAAAAAAATAAAATAAAGGTGTAAAAATAATTAAATTATTTTTAGGATTTTTTATCATTAAAGAAAATAATTAAAAGTATTAAATATAAAAATAAAAATAAAATAAAATATGAAAGAGTTAGTAAGGGGTGTAATAGCAAAACAATGGTGATGTTGAGCAAAAATGCTGGCCCATGGCAAAAAGCCCAAACCTGCAAAATGTCAAAAAAACTGAAAGGGAAAAATGCCAAAATGCAAAAGTAGTGCGCAAGTTCGAACCCAGGACATGGGTCACACCAGTGCGCTGCTTTACCACTGGGGTGGCCATACATCCATTGTCTTTACTGAAACAAAAACAACATATTACAAAACACGTCCTTGCCCTGTTTTATCTTCTTCCTCAAGCCTTTGCCGGATCCCCTGTAACTTCCTCATGCCTCCATAAAAATGAAAACTTATAACATGAAAAATGTAGAGCTTGAACTCACGATTCCAACCATGTAAGCTATGTAATCTAACTATCAAAGATTAAAGAGAATTTAAACAGCCCTAAATCTTGACCTAATATTTCCAGAAATTTCAAGTTTCAAATTCTCCTAGCACAAGTAAAATTAATGCAAGATAATGATATGTATAAATTCGTTATGATGAGAACTACATTTTTCATTCACAAATCGTGGCCTGAGGTTGCCTATACAAAGAGACAGAATTTGAAAAAATACCTCCTTCAGCTGGAATCGTGTATGGAAATGCAGGGACTTTAATGGAGGCCTGATGATTGCTTAAGCTTCCTTAAGCTTCCCTGAATCTATTCCAACCCTTACCTTGCTCTGAAAGTGGCTAGAACTCCCTAACCAAGTCCAACTGCAAGCTTCAAAGTAAAAAATGGAAGATTGTGGAAAAGAGGATACAAAACAGGGATGATGGTTTGGATAGGCTAGGTATCAAGTATATAATGTGTTTGAATGATCCAAACTCAAAATGCACGAGCAAAATGGAATATGGGGATGCTTATGCAGAATATGCAGTTTTGGATAGGTTTTGGATGTTTTTAAGCTTGAGAGAGTTTCAGGTCCTTGCCAAGCGTGTTATGTGTTGCATATCCTTTGCATATTAGTATAGAAATGATTTAAAGTCAGCTCTCTATCAGCTGTACAAGCCCTAGCCTTTTTGCAACTTTTCCTGTACTTGAAGCAAAGTGACAAGACCAAACCCACATGCTTGTACCAGCTTGCTTTAGGGTTGGTATGAGTTTATACAAGTTGCTTGAGACCTGTGTGGTTTTCTTGTATCAAGGGGACAGGTTCAAAGCTCCAAATTGACAAGTTTGCAAAAGTGCTTCTTTATGAAAATGGCAATGAAGCCTTTTTGCCCAAAATGGAATTGCAAGTTGTGTAAAAGTTCAAAAGCATGGATAGAGGCTTTGTCAACTGTGTAAGAATTTAATTAAGGAGTGTGTAGTAAGTTTAGGACCTGTAAAGCATGAAATAGCCAGCATAGGTTTGATTTGCAACTTGGTTCTTCATGAAAATGGCTTGAACAAAAAGTGAGAAAATGCCAACTTCC